CACAGGAAAGCTCCTGGAGATATCAGGCCATGATAGCATGGTGTGGCATGATCCAGCCTGGCCAGCTCCAGCACCACATGGCTTAGTCCAGTGAGCTCAGCATGGCCACAGCAGCATGGTGTGGCATGGTCCAGGGCAGTGTGGCTTGATCCAACACAGCATGGTGTGGACCAGCATGGACACAACAGCATGGGGTGGCATAGTCCAGCATGGCATGGCTGGGTCCAGCATGGCATGGCTTGCTCCAACACAGCATAGCTTGGTCCAGCCAGTCCAGCCACAGCAGCATGGTCTGGCATGGTCCAGCATGGCCATGCTAACATGGGATGCCATGGTCCAGCACAGCATAGTGTGGTCCAGCCAAGGACTGCATGTTTCTCCATGACATGGCCAAGCATGGCATGGAACAACTTGTTCTCCCTCACTGCTCCCTGTTCCCTGCACTCCCTGGCCCCATGCCTGACTGGGTCTGGGTCAAGGGGGTGTTGGTAGGGCACAGGGGCCCCCAAAGGCCCCAGAAACCCCATGGTGCTGGGGGCTTGGTTGGGGATCCTCTGGGTAGTGCTGCTGGAGGAACCAGAGGACCCAAGGCAGGGACATGACACCAGTAGGACATGCCTTTATTTCAGTGACTAATGGCCCATGAGGTGGCAAAGCCCCATTCCCACCCCACAAGCCCTTGGTCCAGAGGTGTTTGGTGGCCATGGCTGCTCAACCATCCCACGCAGGGATACCAGCACGGCGCGGGGCCAATGGCCCTGACTCGGACACGGGGGGAGAGTCGCTGGGTTGTGCCTGTGTGAAGACGCGGTTGCGAGTGCCAAAGAGGGTCCCGTGGCCATGGCTCCTGGGGGGGTACGGTCCATGGTGGTGATGGCAGCGGAGTGAGCAGATAGGGGCCCTGAAGACCTCCTGGAAGCCCCGTCGGAAGTTCTCATTGAAGTAGCCATAGATGATGGGGTTGGCACTGCTGTTGAAGAAGGCCAGCCAGTGGGCGAAGGGGTAGATGTAGACAGCGAGCAGGCGGAGCTGCCCCTCGCTTAGCCGCCCATAGTCTGTCAGCAGCATCAGCGTCCACAGGGGCAGCCAGGACAGTGTGAAGAAGAGGGCAACGATGATGAGCATGTTGATGACCTTGGCCTTCCTCCGGGAGACCTTCCTCCCCTCCGGCTCTTCTCGGCTGTGTGCAGGTGCCACTGACTTGAAGAGCTTGAAGGCAATGCGAGTGTACATGATGATGATGAGGGCAAGGGGAGCCACATAGATGTGGGAGAAGAGTACGGTGGTGTAGATCCTCCTCATCCCTGTCTCAGGCCAGGCCTCCCAACAGGAGTAGAGAGGGTAGGAGTTGTTGTAGGTGTCCACCATGAAGTGGTGCTCCTCTCTGGTTACAGTCAGGGTGACAGCAGCAGGGCACATGATGAGCAGGGCCAGCACCCAGATGATGACAATGGTCAGTAGGGCCTTCCTCAGTGTCAGCTTCTGCCGGAAGGGGTGGACGATGCAGCGAAACCTGTGGGAGGGCAGATAGAGGTGGCTTTGGGCACCAGGTAGGACATCCCTGGGGAAGGAGGGCAGCCAGGACCCAGGGGTGGGTAGGGAAGGTGGGGTGGGTTGCTCTTTACATATGGCTTTTGTTGGCAGAGGTAGGTTGGGCTGTTTCCAGCTTTGGTGTTTTCAGCCCTTGGTGGGGAAGGACTCCTTGTTGGAATGCCCCATGGACAGCTTTGTGGACCTCCTGGAGAGCTAGGGCATGCTCCTGATATCTCCAGGAGCTTTCCTGTGGTGAAAACCACACAGGACATGTGAACCTGGAGGAGGTGGCTTAGTCCCCATGTTCCCACATTCCCACATCACCATACCTCTCCACGGCGATGGCCACCAGTGTGAAAACGGAGGCGGAGACAGACATGCCCTGTACCAGGCCACTCATTTTGCACATGGTGTTGTTAAATGGCCAGCCTGTGAGGAGACAACACAGAGGTTGTAGGTGCCTTTGGCATGGCCCAGGTCCCTTTAGATGTCTCATCCCCTGTGTTGTTGCTGGGGGATGCTAAGACCTGTTCCCAAGGTGGGGTTCATCCAGAGATTACCTTTAGCAGCACAGATGCTTGGAGAAAAACCCCAAAATTGGTCAAAAAGATGCATATTACACTTCTTAGAAACTCAAGGAGCACAGTGGCTGTCATTTCTCTTACCCCTACATGGGGCTGGTGCTGTTATCACAGGGACAGACATTGGGAGTCTCTAATCACAAGGACTTTCATCTTGCTACTTGACCTCAATGCCCAGGCAGTAAATAGACCATGCCCCATGATCAATATATGTAAACTATGCCCTGCTGCTGCAGCTGAACTCTGCCAAATGCCACCTCTTATCTCTGGAAAGGTCAACAGGAAGAGCTGTGCCAGCATGGGAGAAGATGGATGCAAGGGGAAGGTTTTTTTCAGTGTTGCTTGGTGAAGAATGGCTGAACTTTAAGTGAATACATAAATGCAGTATTAAGGTCATACTTATTTTGCTAAAAATGGCCAAAACCTCAACAAACAAAAAGATGTTTCACCCCTAAAACAGTAGCTCTAAATTAAATTATACCTTTCCTCAGACATGGTTGAGTGCCACCACCTGCCTTTCTCCTTCTACCCAACAAACCCACCCAGGGAGTCGCCTCATGTGTGGGAGGCAGCAGGTGGATGATGTTCCCCCATCATTTTCTGTCCCCACCTGCTGCCCTGCTCACCTGTAATGAGGTTGTCCACCAGGGTAGTGGGCATGCAGAAGATGCCTACCAGCAGGTCACTGATAGCCAGGTTGAGGAGGAACATGTTGGTGACCGTGCGCATCTGGCGGTTCTTTACCACGACGAAGCACACCAGGATGTTGCCAATCACGCACATGAGAAAGATGAAGGTGTAGGCCAGGATGAACATGAGGGCCACAGGGTAGGAATGCTGGTAGTACGCCAGGAAGGTGTAGTTCTCCCTCAGGAGGTGACTGTCGCTTGTGGTGGAATTGGGCCACCAGGTGTCATTGGAAGGGTCTGGAGAAGGGAAGGCAGGAATACAAAGCTGGGAGAGGATAAAGTGATTATTCCCTTCATTTATTAAGCCCTTGGAGGTGGGTTTCATATTTATTCCAGTGCCCAGCCTAGGTGGGATGTGTCCTGCTGGGATCATATCAGCGCCCCGACAAGCCTCCTCCTCAACACAGCCCCAGTTACTGCAGCATCTCAGCTGAGTTAATATTTTATATCATTGTTAATTGATATCATTATTATTCTATACCATTATTCTATATAATTATTATTAATATCATTATTAT